ATGCCAGCAGAGTCTGTGCAGTGATTGCTCAAGACAGACGAGCTGGCATTGCTACTACTGACTTCATTCCAGCTGCCGGGAGAACTGAGTAATTCTGTCGTCCAAACTCTCCGGGGCTGGATTCTCTGACTACCCTGGACAGCGCTGCTGCACACAGGGAAACAGGAGGGCATCCTGTTACTTATCATCCCATCACCTTCCAAATATGTCCCAGGAAAAGGCAGTGGGAAAAAGCCTTGTCTTCCAAGAAAGAGGAAAACATTTACAAAGCCCCTGTTCTCCTTCTGGTACCTGAAGGAGCACAATCATGTCAAGTCCTAACTCTAGTGCTGTCACCTCTGAGCTCAGCAGTAAGAAGACCAGCAAGCTCCAGGATCATTCCCCGGACTTCCTAATTTGCTCTGTAATGGAGAACGAAGCCCCGAACTTCATTCAGGTAACACTGAGCAGAGCCAGCCGCTGACTGAAACGGGACTGCAGCAGGATTAGTGAACCCTTTGGGAAGCGGTGATGATGAACTTCAGGGTGTAGTGCATTCTTGGCTCTTCTCTGCGATGGAGGAGCTCCTATTCTACCCTGAAACGGTTCTTCATCAGCAGGCTGTGTGACTGTAATACATGCATTTTCTTGGGAAGTTCATAGCTTTCATATTCTCAAAGAGTTCCAGGATCCAAAAATAGGCAAAAACTACAATCTTAGATTTTTTTTGAGATATATTTTCATGGCTTCCATAAAAGGCTGGTTTCTTCTGTCATTGTCACCAACAGGTGCCAGCACCTTGCCCATGCATAGCAATACCACTGGGGGCAAAAATGGGCCAAAGAGAGATGGAGGGTCACTCTAATGAGATGACAGTCAATGCACATCCAGAAAACACACTTGTGTCAAGATATACCAAGAAGTGAGATGCAGCGGGGGTGTTAAAATGCACACAGGCACTCCCTTCAGGTGCAGTTCTCCACAGACCCCACCATCTGGAGCTACTGCTCTAGAGCAGTCACCCACAGGTGACCATGCCAACTGACCCGGCCGGGTGACCAGGTCTTCCCTGTGCACTATCACACGGAGTCCAGAAACTCTCCCTCTCTTCCTGCAGAGCCAGCCCACTTCTTTAAAGAGCATGGAACAGAAGGTCTCTCCCAGATGCCCTGTCACCATCACCCTGCCGTGAGCCTTCTACAGGCAAAGCCTTCCTAGGGCTTCTGTTTCTTTCACCATTCATACCAGATCCCATTTAGGACACACAAAACTGCACACAAAGACCCAGAGCACTCTTCTCTATTGGAGGACATTTTTCAAAGGACAAGCCAATATGACTCCCCATACGGGACAATTTCACGTGCATTGCTCTGTGAATGCGAGGGTAATGCTTTATTGTCTTCTGCTCTCTCTGTCGTGTGAACCTCAGTGAACTGTAAATGGGAGACATCTAGTGTGCTGTGACACTTCCTGGCACAGACGAGAGTAAATCTCATTTGTAAAAAGCAACAGTGAAGTCTGAAAAGCAGCAGACAGAGACAGGGCAACGGATCTCAGAGAGTGATGGATGCCTCAATGCAGCCCGCACCCTGCACCCAAGCCCAAGGCAGCACCTCGCCCCTCCACATGGGAAGGACAGTGGTTCCTCTGGAATCCTGAGCTCTGCTTGGGGTTGTCTTCTATGCAGAGGTCCCAGTTTGCAGCCAGAAGAGTCCCTGAAGGCAGACAGTCTGTCCTCCCCTCCCTCCGTGCCCGCTCACAATGCTGCTTCCTTGCTCTTGCTGCTTCTACCCAGTGAAACTGAAAATTTCATCACCAGTGTCAGAAAATCAAACCTCAGGAAGCAGGGCAATAGCTCAGAGCATCCCTCCCTTGTCAAAGAGCCAATCTTCGAATATAACTTTGCAAACCTTCTCTGATTTTCAGAGGGTTAAAAGGATGCAAAGCAGTCATTTGGAAGCATGCTTTTTGACTGCTAAAATCTCTCTGACAGCACTTCAACTCATCCTCGCAATTAATTAAGAAAAAGCATTTCAGTTTGGAGACTGGTTCCATGAAAGGAGGCAGGGACACAGCCTAGCTCGCTTGCACATTTCCTGAGCAGAGCACAGCGGCGCCCAGAGAAGGGCAGCCTCAGCGCCTGGCTGGGGTCTGAGGAAGTGTGGCAGACCATTGTAATCACGTCTCTCATCACAATACAAACCCAGCAACGCCATCGAGCAGCCCCGGGCACAGCGCCTGCACTGGCTCTGCCTTTGCACAGAGATGACTCGCACTTAGTTTACAAAGCATCTTTTGAAATAGATCAATACCCAACAAGATAAGGGAAGATCGTGCTCCTCACACTAATCCCAACTGGACAACTAACGTCAAGCTTGATGTGCAGCCAGCCGCAACCCCGATCCAACCCAGGCGACGCACAGTCAGGGGCACCTCTGCACGCCTGACCCTCCATGTGCCTATTCCAATTCCGTCTTCTCGGTAGACAATAGGACAAAGCTACAGTTCAGCTCAGGCTGCTGATATCAGCGGACAGATGTGTAAGAATGAGGTTTACTCACCGAGCTCCTGTAAGTCCATCTTCCCCAACTGCAGATACTGCTTCTAAGCTGCCGCTGCCACAAATGACTTAGAGTCGTCCCCCAGAAGAACAACGTGCTGGAATGCGGGATGGCTCCTGAGCGGGCTCGTTCACGGAACAGGTTTCCAGTTGAGCCATGTGCACAGAGACCGCGCACCTTTGAATGGTGTGCACTCCAAGTCCAGAAGGATAAGCTTGTAGCTCTGCTTATGTTTATGGAGCTGGAGCCCAGGGGTGCTCCGATTGGCAGGAGTTGCGAAAAGATCAGCCAATCAAAGAAAGCCTCCATTTCAGGGAAACTCCTGCTCATTTATTTAGCATCTTTAGAGATCACTGGCTTTTCTAGGAAGAGCTTTTCCCTTATAGTATCACAAGGGAAAAATAATAGCACCCTTTTTCTTTCCATGCCCTATGCTCTTTCTTCAATAAACATGTAAGCCCTTTCTTGGTGCTTCTCAACATCTCTACTTTCTTACAAAGGATTTGTTTAAAAAGAGAAAGAAGAAGAAGAAAAGGAAGAGCTAGGATGGGCTGGAGGTAGTTCATATTCATCAGTCTCCACCTTGTTGGGGGAAAGGGCGGGGGAGCGCAGGAGCTCAATAATTACTGATTCTGTTACCATGGAAACAGACTGGCTGCAGCGAGTTGGATCCGTGTGGAACATCTGCTGCCAGACCCATAATCAACTGCCATCGCATCCCTTCCCCTCGCTCCACTTCTATGTGGTCGTGAGTTTGTGCTCTCCCACCTCCTCGTCACACCAGTTTTTGTCCAGCGATGTCACAGAGGCGTGTACACACCAGGACTGCTCACATCCAGGGGGCTGCGAGCACGCCAGCGTACATCCCAGCAGGGACCCCAGCGGCAGGATCCAAACTCTGATTCCCGCTCAGGATGGAAACAAACACACCTGCTTCCATCCCTAATTGAAACTGCTGTGCCTTTCATCCAAATGAATCTTTGAAAATATTTGTGTGGAACAGCCCGAAAGCCCCCAAACAGGTTTGCCATGGAATTTCTCAGAGGGCACTGTGGTGGTTTCTAGCAAAGCCTTGGAATGAAGCGATTAAACCAGGAGACATGGTAAGTAAAACGTCTTTAGGCACAGCTCTTTTCTGCATTAGCACCTCACCAAGGTGCCCTGGACACTGGGGATCTCCCTGGGTTTCCTCAGCCCATTTTCATTCTCCCTGGCTCCTCCCCTGCTTCTCCAAATTCTTCCAGTTGCGTGACTGGAATTAAAGCCACAGACCAAGAGGTGCTGGCATCTCTCCTTAGCAGCAGGGGCCGCCACTGAGCAACCAATGGCTGCATGCCCTGGTCATTCTCAGAAGGGGGCTCAGATAGATGCAACCTTGCAAGTGGGTTACAGAAGCCTTCATAGGCTTGTTAGAAAATGCCACGGAGATTGATAGAAAAGGGTCTCAAAGAAGGCTGTGATTCTGGCTTAAGTTAGAGAGGGAGGAATTATTCCGTGTCCCATTGTCATCAGCCTTAGCATCTCACAACTTCAAGAACCTTCTCTTCCTTCCATAGTAGACTCTAGTAATGGCACTGTTGAGGCTCTGAAAGGTCTGAGGACTGCTGTTTGCATGTCTCTGGCTCTTGCAGCCAAGATGAATGACCCACTTGCCACACAGTCACTAGCTAAAAGCAGCAGTAGCCCTGGACCTTGTCTGCTCCTAAACGACACTCGGCCCAAATCCCACATTCAGCCCTCTCCAAATGCTCAGCTCTGGCTCACTGGTCTTGATATTGGATTTGCTTCTGTGAGGATCTGAATCTTGCTCTTCTATTCTGTCTCAATGACATTATAAGCCAAGGAAGGAATTCTCACCCAAGTTCTGTCTTCCTGGGACCCAACTCTAACACTGGGTGTTCTCAGCTCTGGCCAGACAGCCTCCATTCTGCAGGGCCATGGGTCACTCAGCTTTCCTCTACAGCCTTTCTGGAGCCTCTGAACCTCTTCTGCCCATTCTCGTCTGCTGCAGGGGCATCCATGGACCTTTGCTCTCTCACCTTCCTGAGGCCATCCGAATCCGCACTGTTCTCAGGCAGAAGCCTGTCATTCCAACTGAGGCTCCCCCACCCCAAATTTAATATTTTTCAGCAAATATTGAATAAGCATCTATATTCTAGGCACTTACGCGACTAATACAACAATTGGCCTCGTTTCTGCTTCACAGCTGGCACACTTGAGTAGAGGTGGCAAAAAACATTAAAGTGTCCCCTTATAACAAATAACAGAGACAATTTAGTCAAAGAGCTCAGGAAAAAAGCCTCAAAAGAAGTGATGTTCGAGTCAAGCTCTAAAGGAAGAGTAAAAGTTAACAAATTGAAAGTGAAAGGGTGAGTATTTCAGACATAAGGAATGACACGTACTAACGTCTTGTGCTTTACAAGGCAGTGGGGCGTCGCCCAGGGAGCCCGACAGCAGAGAGAATGAAGGGGCGTGAGTGGTGAGGGAGCAGGCCGAGGCCAGGCGAAGGAGGATGGCTTTTATCCTATGGCAACGGCAACCATGGCAGGACTCCATGGATGTCTTTCTACCCCAACACACTAATACAACGCGACACCCTCCTCAGTTGACCTTAAATGATACATTACCAAGATTTCAGCTGGACTGAAACACACGTTTTCAAGACATCCATAATTTGCTGGACTGATCGGCAATTAATAGTCCGGGTAGTCTTAGCACTTCACCTGCTGAGCCCGTGAGGTGTTATTACAGTACCTATCATACAGATTGCGGGCACCAAGGCGTACAGCTTGCCAAGATAAAAGGTGGCAGAGCTGTGATCAGGCACAGGACACTGTTGGGTTGTCGGAAAAGTCAGGGCACATTTTTTTCTATGTTTTTCTATGTAAAAATGTGTCATGACTTTTTTGACAACCCAATAGCTGGAGTTTCTCTAAGCACGACCCAGAGGGATCGCCTACATGGAATCATCTCGAGTTCTCACTAGAATGCAGATTCCCGGGGTCCTTTCGCATCCTTCCTACAGCAGAACCTCAGAGGGCAGAATCAGAAACATTTTCCCGAGCTCTCAGGGGATTCGCAGACAAGAGCAGTTTGAGGGTATCTGTTACGACATAGGGGTGCATAGAGGAGGAGAAAACTAACCCTGAATTAGTCTTCAATGTATCAACTGGAGAAGGGCATTCTTCCCCCTA